ATTGAAAGTCTAACCAAATGCCTACAGCCTCCTAAATGTTTGTTTATAAAACTCAAAAAACAAAAAGGATAAAGAAGGGTTTTGGCAAAGATAAACAGTCATGTTACTTTTATTTAAATCACTAGATGAGAAGAAAAAATCAGCATAGAAGTAAGAAAAGAACCTGCAATAATTTGAATGCATGCAGACGAACTTCAGAAGGCCAATCTTTCTTGACTAAAAGAAATGATGTGCTTGCCAAAACACGAACATCCCCAGATTTTACCTATAGAAAAAGGATAAATAAGGCTCATTAAGCAAAATGTATGTGGATACCAATATCCATAGGAAAAGAGCAAGTACTTTTCCATAGATCTACATTGCATAACAATATATAAGAAACCCAATCACATATAGTGTCTAGAGACATGTAGGGAATTGTTAGCTATGATTTTTGTAATTAGTCACATGCTTATCACAAGCATATAGGTTGTTAGAAAGTTAAGTTAGTTACCATTCTGTTAGTGATTAGTTAAAACGTGTATATATGTTTCTCATTTCGTTTGTAACAATTCATTCAATCAATGAAGAAAACTTTTCCAACTCTTTCTTCTTTCAACTGTAACATGGTATCAATCTGAATTTGATCCTTTTCTACTGTCCATCATCTTCTTCAATTACTCAATTTCTCTTTCGTCAAGTCTGAATCTCTGATGCTGATAATTCTAATGTCGTTAATGCCACTGCTCCTTTCTCTCTTGGATCTTCTGATAATCCAAGAGAGAATGTGAAGACTACATTACTTGAGGTGAATGATGTCCACTATAAACTATAGATGGCAAGGGTTTATGACATAATCATATGCCTCAGCAACCAATAGTTTTTAGACCCTCTAGTACCCACAACAGTGACATCAGGTTTAGTAATAGGTGTAAACTGTAGCAGGTGATGCATAGACTGGAACAACTTGATCATTAGTATAATAAGCACATCTTCTTCTCCTTTAACACAATCAAGTTTCACATTAGGCCTACAGTTGTATGTATAGCTTCGAGCTTTCCACTCTTCTATTCTTCATACTATAATTTCTCTATAACACTTGTCCAGTTCTTTGTTCTTTTTGTTTCTCAATACTTTTAACGATAGTTTATTTCTAACTTGTATTACCTTTCAACTCCAGCATCATATGAAGGATTAAGTTTGCCAAAAAAACCTCAAAAGAATGTACGGATTTTTCAAAAGTGACATGAAATAAATTTCAAAATCTATTGGGAAGTGAAACATGTGGAACCTCAGATGAACCTAATATTAATTTTTCTCAATTACTAACAATTAACACGACATTGCAGAAGTTCGTTCATCGCATTTCCATACATAACTTCACATACGAAAAAAAAAAATCTTCAAAATACGCCACATCCACTGATTCGTAGGCAGCGTATGATCAAACTTGTGAAATAAACACGTTTTGCAACCAAAACCCGAATAGTGCAAGAGAAGGGACGTAATATACTCACAGATCGATAGAAAAAATTGTAAAATAAAACACAAATGAACATACAGATTCTAAGTACGACATAGCCGATTTGCGATCGTCGGACGAAGAGCTCCAGCCAAGGGCGGCGACGATAGCTCGGGCAACATCGCTCGCTGTACCACTGCTGTCCATGGTCGCGGCAACGACTAACGTGTGAGTGAGGGTTTTAGAAAGAGGAAAGCTTGCAATGGGGTAATGTTCTAAACCACAGTGTTAAGTTTAAAAAAAGTTATACCGTTTCTTTCTTAATTTAAAATTTATTATATTTTAATATATTTATTTTCTAATAGACCAATGTATTCTCATCAATTTTTAAAATCCGATTTTTTTGTTTAATCGGTTAGACGTTAGATGATCGGTTTTCGGTTCAATCAATTCGATTGTGAGTCCAAATGGAGGTTTACATCTAGTAGTGGTGTGTGTGTCAGACTTATGTATACTTCGGATAACCTTCTTCTTTAACTATAAGAGCCAAAAACACTCAAATTTGCAAAACACACACACACACAAGCCACACACACGAGATTAGGGTTTTAGAGGGGGTTGGAGGCTGATAAGGGTGGCTAGAAATGAGACCATAATGTTTTTTATATAGAGACCAACTCGAAATTAGGGTTTTGCACCTGAGCCTAATACGCCCATCGTACTAGATGGCCTCCGCGATTCTGCATGATGCACGTACTCATGCGTACGCCCCGCATAGTATCTTGCAAATTTTTCTCTTTTAGGGACTTAATTTGACATTTTAGGAAAAAGACTCAAGAATGAAAAATGCACCTTATTTTGGGATGTTACACTCAAATGGTCAACAATATTAGTCTTGAATATACTTTTTTGTCATAATTTTTTAAACGACATAAAGTTAATCCGAAATACCAAACAAAAAATTCATTCACCCAAAAAGAAAAAACGTAGTATTTTTTATTAAGTTATTCAATGATTATTTTGTTTAATATTAAAGGGAAAACTGCAAAAAAGTCATTACATATTAGCCTCATAATCGACTTAGTCCTTATACTTTTTTATTCAATTAAGTCCTAAAAATCGATAATCGTATTCAATTTTAGGGGTGGCAAATATGTACCATGGAAAACCAACCAACATGTGTACCAACCGAACCAATTATGTTGGTAGCCAATATGTTTGGTAGTCAACATGTTTGGCTGGTAGTACCGTACCAATTAATTAATAATGGTACGGTAATGGTACAAGGTTTTAAATGTCACGGTATTACCGTACCAACCAAGTTATTTTTCATATATATAAAGTATTGTATATTTAAACTTTAAATGTATTTGACGGTTAAGAGTTCAAGTGCTTTGATATTAGCATTTACCGTCTAGTAGCTTTTAAAGTTTAAACTCATATTAACATATCCAATTTACTCTATTGTTTAGTTTAAACTCATGGTACAAAAATATAAAAAAAAAATTGTATCGAATTTCCAATCCAACCATTCAGAAAACTCTTATTTACAAAACCTACATGTATCTTTTAAGTGCACAATAACACATAAATCTTAACTCCTAACACACCCATACATGTTGGTATATACCATTACCAACATGTACCAACCGAACTTACTGGTAGCCAATTAAGTTGGTACCAACTGTACTTGGTACGGTAGTGGTAACTAAAATTACATACCAATTAAAATTGGTACGGTAAACGGTTTGGGAAAAAAATACTCGGTACCGTACCAATTCCACCCCTATTCAATTTAACTCTTTTACCCTGTCAACATGTCCTCCAACTTTCAAAATTACACTTTTGGCCTAGATTTTAAATTTTATTACAAACTTGGTCTAAAATTTACACTTTTTGGCAAATATTTTAAATTTTATTACAAATTTGGTCAAAATTTTACCTTTTTGGCATAGATTTCAAAATTTTGTTATGAATTCATCATAACTTTAGTTTTTCTTTTTTAACTTTTTTTCTCAAAAAAAATTTCGAATATGTTTTTTCTTTAAAAAAAATCATATTTATACAAAAAAAACATATTTTCACATAAAAGGTAACCCCTAATAGTGAAATCTAATTTGTTTTGGAAGATGGTAACTTATAAATTGGAAATTAACCCATTTTGATATATTATTTTGGGTTTAAAACAAAAATATAACGTTGTGTGGGTTGAAAAAAAAGTTGTATGGCGATAAATTTTGTTTTTTAATTTGAAGATGTACATATTTTATCAGTGATCAAAATTCCTTTTGAATTTTGAATATGATTTATTATTTTATGATATTAATTCTTATATAACTATTATTTAGAGTATACATTTAAAATGATAATTTAATTGTCGATAATTTACTTCTCAAATGATGTTTTTTATCGAAAACATGTTTGTATATATATATATATATATATATATATATATATATATATATATATATATATATATAATCATGTTTGTATACATTTGTTTACAAAAACGTGTTTGGATATATTTTTTATAAAATACGTGTTTGTATACATTTCATATATAAACGTGTTTAAATACAGTTGTGTTTATTATAAAATAGGTGTTTATAAAAAATATAAAAATATGTTTTTATAAAACAAATGTACACAAGCACTTATTTGGGTGCATATAAATATGTTTTTACAAAATGTATTTATAATAAAAACGATGTTTGTATACATTTTTTCTTGTAAAATACGTGTTTTTATATATTTTTTTATAAAAATAGATTTGTATATATTTATGTACTTAATAAATACCTATTTTTTTAAATAGGTATTTCGTATACAGAAAAGTTTTTATATATAAAATATAAGGTTTTTTATGTGAATATATGTTTTTTTATATAAATATGATTTTATAAAGAAAAAATATATTCAATTTTTTTTTGAGAAAAAATGTTGTAAAAAAACTAAATTTATGATGAATTCATAATAAAATTCTGAAATATGGGCCAAAAGGGTAAATTTTGGATCAAATTTATAATAACATTTAAAATATAGGCCAAAAATATAAATTTTGGACCAAATTTGTAAAAAAAATTAAAATCTAGGTCAAAAATGTAATTTTTAAAAGTTAGATGACCTGTTATTCAGGTAAAATTGTCAAATTGAATACGATTACCGACTTTGAGACTTAATATAATAAAATATATACATAAATACTAAATCGATTATAAGACCAATATATATATATATATATATATATATATATATATATATATATATATATATATATATATATATATATATATTTTAAAAAATCTGTATTTTCCAACTGAAATGAAATATGACTACCGAAATCGAGTTGTACATTCAGAATAGTCTTAAAGGAAATGAATTTTATCTCTTTGATAGAGATAATTTTAGGAGTTACTTTTTAACCGTTAATTTTGACAATCCATAGACCAACAAACATTGTGAATCACAAAAAGGAATCAGAATTAGAAAAAGATTCAATTTTTATCATACAAAAGAGCAACTAAAAGTATCAATTCTCTTTGTGTAATTTTGCAAAACCTGAAAACCCTTAAAAGGCACGTCCAAACACCCCATATGTGTCGATGCAAAACCAACTCACAATGAAACCTCACAATTTGAGCACAAGACGAAGATATTGATCATACCATCTTGTGCGCATCAAACCATTCGGAGCGTCGGAGAAGAAAAGCAACCCACAGTTATGGCGGACGACGATGACGACGACTCTTTCGGTGAATTCACATTCGCCTCTAACCAGCCGACGCCTAATTCCTCCTCTCAGATTCCAGCCACCACCGGCGACGACGACGATTGGGGGGATTTCAATTTTGTCGGAAACAACGCAACAGATCACAATCTTAATTCTCCACAGCCGCAGCCACAGATACAGACAACGCCAAAGTGGGAAAAGATAAAAGGAGCTTTGCCGCTATCTCTATTTGGAGGTGAAGAAGAGGAGGAGGAGGAAGATAAGAAACCGGTTATGCCTGTGGCAGGAAATGATGTTAAGCAATCATCTTTTCCTGGTAATAGTGGTTTTCCATCCAATAACAATAATGATAAAAGTAATGCTAATCTGGGTATCAATGACCTGATCGCGGATCTTTATGGTCCGAGACAGCAGCAGATGGCCACAAAGGCGGCCGATAATGGCAATGGATTGGACTCTACTGCAAGAAGTTCATCTGTATACAAGGATCCCCTTTCAAAATCGGAATCCTTGAGTTCTTTTAGCTTTCATTCAGTTGCCACAAAGGCGGCCGATAATGGCAATGGATTGAACTATACTGCAAGAAATTTAGCTGTATCCAAGGATCCTTTTTCAAAATCGGAATCCTTGAGTTCTTTTAGCTTTCATTCAGTTGGTGCTTCTGGGTATCATGGATCTGATGATGAAGGCGGCTGGGAATTCATGGATGCTTACTCAGAGTCCAAGTTAGCGCAAAATGGGAAGGATAATAAGGTAATGATTGTTGCTTCATGTTAGTATTGAGATCGTAATCCCTTTTCTGGAATTTCACTTGATGCATCTGCTTACAATTACACTCCGCCATAGGAAAAGAGTGCACCTTGACTGTTTGAATCCTCTCTTTTAGGAACGTTCTGAGAAGACTGTGTCTCCTCCAAGTCTACAAGATGGCTCACATGGGCCTAATGATCCGTTAGGAACACCAAACAATGGTTCGCATAGGCCTAATGATCTATTTGGAGCACCAAACAATGGAGTTTTTGTTGAATCTCATGTAACTGATAGTGGATTCAACTCCAAGCCAATCACAAACATTCAGAATGGCTTTGCAGCTGACATAAAAGCTAATTCCAAAGATACCACAAATGAGTTAAATTCAAATCCACTAGGTAGGAGTGTTGATAGTTTTGGGGAGTTTGAGGCTGCATTTATGGAACAACCATCAAAGAAGAAGGTACACAATCACATGGCTTTTTTTTTAAGTCTTTTTGTCATTTCTTGAAAATATGTGGCACACGTTTCAATATCAGTGTTGAATGAAGCAAATGAATTAGATTCAAATCTTATGAAGCAAACATATTAGGCTATTTTAAGGTGGTCTTGATGAGAGATAACTGGGACAAATTCTTTCAAATGTTGCTTAGATGCATAATGTACAATCTGAGTGTCTGTTTTATCGCATAATATCAAGGCCATGATTATCATTCCATTACATCCAGTTCATCCATAAATCCTACTCACATTCATCCAAAAACTCCATTTGATTCTGTTCCACCAGAAAACTCTGTTTTATCACATTCAGAGGTGTATGTATTGTATATTACATAATGAAATATGCACATATGTAAACAATCATGAAAAACACTTAAAACATAAAGAATCAAAAGGCATAAGTATCATTTGCATATGCATAATGCATTTAACAAGAAATCACCTATTCTGTTACAACAATGTTGTCTCTTTTATTTGGTTATATTAGGTAAAAATGAAACCTAGCACTACTTATAAAGAGGTAAACCCCTCCTTGAGGTTTTCTTATACGAATATGCACATGTGCATTATAGCATATATAGCCATATGCTATAATGCACATATACATATACATATGGCATATGCTGTTGTTGTTTATATATTTTAAACAGAAATATAGCAACCTACTTCTCGTTGCAAATCTATATGTTTTAAACAGCAGAATTTGCAACCTACTCTAGGACTACTTTTTGTAGATTTGAAACCTAACATAACTTGTGAAGATGTAAACTCCTTTTGAGAGTTTTTATTGCACATGTGCGTAATTTATGGTTGTTCAATAAAAGCATTATAGGTGATTTCTATGATATGAAGTGTTATGATTTCCTAATTCTGTGGATAGGAATTTCCGATTTGTATGATTCCTCTCTTCTGTGTATGAATATGAAATCATTTTTCTCTATGATTTGTGATTTCTATGAACATTCAACTCTGGATCCTGATGTTTCGGTGTTTCCTCTTATATGTTATCTTCCATTCTGGATTATGATGATTTCTATTGCTAATGATTACTGAACGATTTTTTCTGTTTTGAAATTGCACAAATTAGCACTACCAATTACCAAACTTCATTTAATTCGTCAGTTTGTGTTAATTATCTCAAGAACACTAAAACTTGATTAAGGGCCCAAATTCTCCTTTCTCTCTAGTCTCTTTTTATGGTGAAATTCATTAAAAAAAGGTGATTAAGGGATTTAATCTTCTCTTTCCCCTCTATTTATAGCTTCCTTAGGCTAATTAACCACCAGCTATCAAAGTGAGTTCCCCAAACTACCCTCCCTAAACTTCCAATTACAACTTCAATTACACTTAAATGACAACATATTTTGTCCCTTTCCGTAACATAACTTCCATGTTATCTTCCCCAAATCTTTTAATTAATTATATAGTTGATCAAAACAAATCCCCTTTCCTTCAATTAATAAGTTATGCCCAACATTTTAATTACTTTTACGCAATTATAAACTTAAATGAATCAAAACTGTTACTCTGTTATAGGGTTGACATTAGTTATCAACTTATCATACACTTGATTGATATCCAGGTTTGACCACGTCTAATTTGAGGTTGACCTAAACATGCAGGAAGTATCCGATGATCTATTTTCATTTCCAAATGGACTTAATGATGATTCACACAAGGAGAAGAACAATGGATTTGATTTCAGACAAAGTCCAGTGGCTCAAAACATTGTCTCCTCAGTGTCATTCTCTCAAACTGAGTCAAACAAAAGTAAAAATGCCACAGTGTCACAACCTTCTGTTGAGGGTAATGATGATGAAAATGTTGGGAAATCTGAGATATCATTTCAAGAAGCTGGATCAAAGCCACAGGTAGATTTAACTATTTAAGCTTGCTTAATGTTTATCATTTTATTTCCTACCATTATATCTTTTATTATAGTATTTTCATTCATTCACCTAACTTCTAGTGAACCTAATTACAACTTATGGTTGAAAAAATCTCAGATAGTTTGTTACCAATATTCATGTCATGAACCCTTTTATTAATTTTATTTTTATGATTCTTTGATTGTTGTAGGGATCCGAGCCAAGTCCAAAGAATTATAAACAACCTGTGCCACTTTCCATTTTTGGCATTGAAGAGGAAACTGAAGTTGATAATTCCTTAAATCTTGAGCATGAATTGTTTAAATCATCATCATCACATGGGAAACACATGCGTACTCTTAGCTCAAATTTATCAATAAATGATATTTTATCCGATTTGTACAGCCAATCAGAGCCAATCAGTTCTAATGTAGTGAATAATGATGATGATGATGATGATGATGATGATGATGGTGATGATATTTTTGATGATGGTTCATGGGAATTCAAGGATGCTTCCTCTCAATCAAAACCTCAAAATCAGAATTTATCATTTAAAGAGAAACTAAACAATTTCATTGATTTATATTCCAATTTAAAGGATGAGTTATGTTTTGTTGCAAGACACCATCTTCATGGTCTAAAGGTCAGTGCTCTACTAATAATGTTTTTAATTTAAAATATTGATTTAGTAAATCACTAAATTGGTGATTTCTATATTTTTATCTAGAAAGCTCAAATCACTGCTACTCTTGCTGGTGAAGAGATGAAAGTGGCTGCTCTCGATAAACAAATTCAGGTTTTAAAAATTTTTTAATATGTTTTATTTGTAAATTCGACGATTATGCAACATTATATAACAATAGTAACTTATTTTGCATATTGTAGGAGGCCTTTGAGAAGCTTCACCAAAAAGATATAATATCCACAGAAGTCCATGAAGATGATGACGTGGCACGAGTTATTTCTTTAAACCAATATATCAAAACTCTCCATGAGCCACATTTTCTAATATTCGACTCAGAATATAACATATCAAGAAGATTGCCATTAGTATGTAGTTATCAATTTATATAAATATAAAGTTTCAAACTTTTTATTATTGCTATTATTTGTGATTGAGGGATTATTAGCATAAAATCTAACTTGTATCTTGTGATTAGGCAGAATCAGATTTGCAAACAGCCATTGACCTCATCAACCACATTACAAGAGTGTTGAAAATTATAAAATTAGCTCCAAAGGGCGAAGCATGTAATTATGTCACTCAATGGTTTAAGGTGATTCAAGTATGCTCTCAAGAACTCAAACATGCCACATGGATTTGGAATCAATCATTACAAAAGAACATCAATCATCAAATACTCTCTCAACAACAAGGTACTTTTTGCTTTTTGCTATGATGAAATTTATGATTGTGTTATAACTTATAACACAATCTCAAATTTAATCTTTTTTGTTTGTTTCAGGTAAACAGTTTGTGAATGCCATTGGAGAGATTTATAGAGTGGTGGTGATATTAGGAGCAGCAGTCAAGTTTTACAAACCGTGGATACTGTTAAATGGTGTAAATTTAGAGGGGCTTTATGGTCTTTTAGCAGAATGTGACTCTCTGTGGTCAACTTCAGGGCTTGAGGAGGTTATATCTGTTGACTCTTTATCAGAGTCCATTAGTCATATTCGAAATCTTGATGAATTTTCAATTGTCAATCTTGATGAAGAGGAATCTCAATGCCAGCTGTCACTTTTATCACCACGAATAGTCCCAGGTGTGTAAATCAGTGAATAATTAGAGTAGCAATTGAAATTACCAAACTGACCCTGTAATTGTTTTTTTGTGTTGTAAGCAGAAATGAAGATGGTGATATGGAATGGAGATGCATATTTTGTAACACTTGCAAATTTATGGGCGAATTTAATCAGCCCTGATCCTCCAAAGTTGACATAAATGGTGTTCTTCAATATGAACAAGGTGTGTAGATGATGTGTGTTATTTAAGGGTAAATAGATTAGTTATTGTTTGATGATTTTGCAGCTTGTTGTGGACTATATAATAATATATATAGTTTTGCAGCCATTGTATGTTTTGGAAATATTCTTATTAAAATTTGAAAAAAAAAGGTTTATTTAGAAAGTGTTGTCAGTGTAGAAGATGTAATACAAGTATAGACCAAAAAGTGTTGTTATCTTGGAATGCTACAATCAAGTGATTCTTTAATAAATTTATTTTGTTTTTTTAGTTATCTTTTTTAATAGTATAAGTTTTTATTCTCATGTTTTTACTATTATTTTTTGTCATGTTGTTAGTGTAGACATTTTCCTTGAATTAAATGATTAAATTGAAATGGGTGTAGGTATATCTATCCAAAAGGAATTCAGTGAATTATATATGTTAGATAAATATTTACTTCCAAACATGGTTTCATATTTTTCCTTGTAATTACTTAACTCTTAAATGTCATTTTGATCATTGTCCAAGTTACTGTGTCATAAGAAATACTTGAATTGATCGTGTGAGTAATTATTGTACAATTTTAGAATGATGTAATTATAATTTTAAAAGCGTTTGTACGTTAGAGATAGTTTAAGAAGAATCAAATATGTGCAACTAAATATTCTCATTTGAATACAATTTACAATTTCACCTTTTATCTTTGTTATATATTTCATTATGCATCTTTGCTTCTTATAAAAGGTAAAAATATCCCTCATATTTGTTTTAAATCAAAAAATAAATTACAACAACATATCATAATTTAATAAGTAGTAATAATAACCATATAGTAAAGGGTTTATATAACAAAATTTAAAAAATAACAAATTGTTAGTAACTAGAAAAAAGTAATTGTGGTTTATATTTTAAATAATTTATAGTTAAGATATAAAATTAATGATTGATTTATTATATATCTCTTGATAGTTACACTTCGTATGAGATTTTTTGTATTTTATTATGTTTTCAGTTGTTTTGTCTTTTGTCTTTGATTTTTTGATGTTGTATTTTTATTTTTTGTTGTCTTTTATTATATTGTTGTTGCCATTATTATTAGCTTATAATTATTATTGTTATTATGATTACTATTCAAAAGACATTAATACAAAACTTAAAATAAATAATATTTCTAAAAGCATATGTCGATTATTAAAGTATATCGATTAATTTTTATAATTGATGAAAATATGTGAGTTATGTCATGATTGGTGATAGATATCAATTGTTAATGTCATTATTTATTTGTCCCTAAGGCGAATGGGTATCCTTACAATACATTTAAGGGTGAAAACGATATCAGATCATCATCATGTATTTTCACAACACATCTATTATACATTTGAGAGAGAGACTCCCCAAAGCATCTTTGACCACCATCACTCCACAATACAATACAATTATTATGCTTTGGGATGATGTTCATTAGTAAAAATCTCATTCACATAAGATTTCTATGTGTGAAAAAGCCTCCGTACCGGATGACCTAAAGTTTAATTAAAATATTTAGCATTTGAATACACTGAAAACTAGATATTTTAAATTTATTGATTGTAAAACTGATTGGTGGGACATCCAAAAGTAGTAGGGTTTTCTTTTCTTTATAATGGAATGAATATACGATATTCATTGGTAATTAACTAATCAATAGATCACACTATTAGTTGAGTCGATCGAAATAAAATCCACCAACAAACCTATAAGAAGAGACGGATGATAATTAATTATTATCTTAAAAAGCCGAAAGTTGTACTTTGCACATGGGTATGTTTTTTAAGCGTTTTGTTTATGTAACACTTCATTTCCAAAAACTCTATTTTTGGAAAGTTCTTGTTTAAAAAAATCTTCAACAAATTGGAAAACTCTCAGTTTCAGAAAACTTCAACAAAGTGTATATTCACAAAAAAAGAGTTTGTCTGTCCCTTTCAATGCTATTTTAAGAAACACTACCTAACACTTAAAAAAAAAACTTATGTATGACAAATTGAGCATTTATAACATCAGAATTTATACCATTTTTAATCATCAGTAGTAAACAGCAACAAATTGTTGAACAATTACAAAGTTAGAAATATGCAAATTGAGATGAATCAATACATGGCAAATTTTGCTTTGGTTTTCTCAAACACTTGTTCAGCAATCATTGCTCCATTCCCATCTGCCTTTTTAATCTCCAAATTAGCCTTCTGATAGAATCCAGTACCTCTCAATGCATCTGCAATAAAATCATCAAATCCAATTGCAATTGCTGCTTCAGCTTTAGCTCCATAAACCAACCTCTGCAAATAACAAATAAAGATTAAAAAAAACTTCAAATGAATATATAAAATTCAATATTTAAAAAGAACCTTAATTCTTGAAAGATGAATGGCACCAAAGCACATTGGGCAAGGCTCACACGAGGCATATATCTCACAGTCTGAGAGCTCGATTTGGTTCAGCTTTTTACATGCCTGAGATTAAACAAAATATAAAAATTAAAATACATAAACAAAATACAATAGTCAATATGCAACAAGATCAAGATCAAACCTCTCTTATTGCTGTAACTTCAGCATGTGCAGTTGGATCAGTGTGTTTTAGAACCATGTTATGGCAACTCACAACAACTTCATCATTTCGAACCACAACTGCTCCAAAAGGGCCTCCATCTCCACAATCAACTCCTTTGTAAGCTTCTTCAACAGCTCTTGTCAAGAATTTGTGGTCTCTATCCTTCACAGCTGCTCAAAAAAAAATCACCAGAATTGAAATCTTTATAGGTAATGCATTAATCACTTTTATTCACCATTCATCATTGTATCTTTTTATCTTACCTTCCTGGTGTCCAGCAAAAGCAGAAGCAACTGCGATGGTTCCATCTTTAGTTTCAACAACTAATCAATAAAAAGAAGAACAATGAGACCAGATTTAATTATAAAACTAAAGATCCAACTATAGCGATTCAGAAACCAGTTAAAATGAAAGAATCCCAACTACGATTTTGATTTTAGTGTCTAATGATCATTTAGTGCAATTGGAATATGTACGATTGCTGAAGGGGGATTTAGCCTGTGATCGAATACAAGTTTTGCAAAAATTTCATACCAGGGTTTCATCTTAACATCAATCATCAGATTGTGGATCCTTTTAAAAAAAATAGATATAGTTATAAATGCATAATATATAGTACTATCATTGACTTAGTTCCATCTTTGATGTTTACTCTTTTTCGTAAGCTGTCAAGTCTAAAGTAGTAAAAGTACTACTCCATGAGAAGATCATTGACGCAAACACAAAACTAAATACGAAAACAAAATTATGAAAACTGTTCAACTATGAATTGTCAATTTCGATACCTAACAAAGGGAAAATGGGATCTATTAGGTAAATACGAAATTAAATTGGGGATCATCAGACGAAAATCCACCACACAAGAAGCAATCAATGATATAAAATGAAGATCGGAAGATCGACGGGGACATTACATGATCAACAACATTGAAAGCAAAAGCAAAAGTACGAAAAAACGAAAAAGGAAGGCCATGTGGATGGAAAGACGATCGAAAGAAATGAAAGACTCACCATTAGCATCCTCCATGTGGGGTTTCAGGAAAGGTGAGTTGGCGTCAATGGGTTTGATTCAAAAGAACGCAGAGAAATGATGAATTGTGATTTGTAAAGATAACGAGAGAGAAAGAGATACGTGGAGAAAAGGTGGAAGTCGGTCCACTTATGCATCTGCTCTCAATTTTAAACCAGAACTTTGGGGATTTTTGATTTTTTAATAAGTATTATTAAATTAACACAACCATTTCTTTTCCAAGATAATGTGGTTTGCCGTGAACGTTAGCACATGCTTGATAAAATTAAGGAAAAATAAATATTAATATCAATATAAATTATATAATTTGGTCTTTTTATTTATATAATAATATACAATTTTCGATACAGTCAATCCTAAGCATTTCCTACATTATTTTGATCTACATTAATTGTATATAATCTTTCTATAGTTCCCTGCTCCATTTTTCTAGTTTAGAAGTCTCTTCACTATTGATTTGTGATTATATTTTAAAATAATTCTGTAACGTCCCGAAAATTTAAAGTAAAATTTTTATTTTTAAAACAACAATTTATATGACAACTTCTTCTCAAAACCATTTAGGATAAAAATAGTATATAAACACCATAGTAAAAAGTATCAATGTGGAATAAACTCCGGGGGATGTTGTATAGTCATGACGAGCTCTTTCCTTCCGAATTGGAAGTACCTAAACCATAAACATAAACCGTAAGCACAAAGCTTAGTGAGTTCCCCAAAGTACCACATACAACATATATACATATAACAACACGTAGCTATGTCAGGTCCGTATCAACCCCCATATGACAACAAATAGTTGTGTCGGGTCCGTATTACCCCCCGTATGACTACAAATAGTTGTGTCAGGTCCATATCAACCCCCGTATCAACCCCATATAACAACAAGTAGTTGTGTTGGGTCCGTATCAACCCACATACATAAGCATACAAACATATAAGCGTGAATCATAAAGACAACAAGTACATACAAGCATATCAGTAAGTGTCAAAAAGGCCGTTACTATCCTACAACATAATCCGGTGGGCCGACATTGGTGTCTTCGACCCACAAGTACAGTGAGGAGACTCACCTGAACTGTTCAACAAAAGCCCAACAACTACCTCAACAATAAACATCCCAACCCAAGCTTCCTAAAGCCAACCGAAACAATTCATTGGCCAAATGTTCAATTCTACTTTAATTATGACCAAAAGTCAAACAGGTCAAAAGTCAATGGTCAAAGGAAGTCAACAAAAGTCAAAGTCCATGGCAGCTGAGTACGCCCAACGTACTCAGCTTACGCCCAACGTACACGATCTCAACCTAGTACGCTAAGCGTACTCCCAAGTACTCCCCGCGTACACATTAAGCACTTTATCCTTTAAGGCCTTTTGTCCAGAGCTTAGATCTAGACTCAAAACATCGACTTAAGTTATAAAGTTTCCACCTTTTTATGACTTTTCGTGGCTAGAAAATATCCAAAAGCTAAAACCCTAACTTATTTATCCATTAAGACATCTTAACTCTTGCATGGAAG